AGAAACTACCATAAATTTCTAACATTCTAACTAGTATATTAGGTTTTGGAATCAAAATATATATGTGTGTGTGTGTGAGAGAGAGAGATTAATAACTTCTTGACTAATTGTGTGATATGATTGACATAAAAAACTTTTACAACATGTGAGTGATATCATAAAATTAAATATATAGCTATGATATTAAGCACTAGCTAGCTACTCAGCTAGCTACGACACTCAATGATATATCTTCATATGCTCATAATTAACTCATGATCATGATATCTACAAATTATAATCTCTATTCAATAAATAAATAGAAACCCTTTTAGAAATATATTGGCCTAACCTCACAAATAAGGGTTGGACCTTAAAATCAAGTAGTCACACAATTTATAACAAAATTAGACATTTTATGATAGTAAACATTTTTATTAGCGTACAATCGTATTATGTAGGGTGAAAATATAATATAAATATTTATAAGTCTTCTATATATATAAATATTATTAAAGATTTATGTAATTTTGAATGTAATAACACTAATTTAATTATCGCTAAATAGTTTTATGACAATAAATAAGGAACATCATTTACCACTTGATAAAATGCAATGTGTTTAGATTATTACAACATTATAATCTCTTTTTATCATCTATGTGGATAACTTGAACTTTCTGCCAAATATAGTATTTTTTAATCCTATCTAATTATACACATATATGACTTGTATAATTATCTTCACATTATTAAAAGTTAAAGGTCCTCAACAGAATTGACAAAAAAGGTAAATTTTTAATATTTAATCTATAAGTTAAAATGGAAAAGAAGGTGCGGTCAAGTTTAAACTTCATACTTAATTAAAGACTGTGTTAACCATTTAACAACTTTTCAATTTTTTCATATATAAGTTTGTTTCAGTCATATATAATTGAAACACATGTTAAACTTAATTAAAGTATCAGTCGTATATATTTGAATGCAAAAGCAAGAAAGAAATATATTATTTTACCTGAAAGTTATATAGTATTAGGTATTCATAAAAAAAATATATATATTAAAGTGTTCGATGGATATTATTTAAATAAAATGATTAAAATAATTATCGATTTATAACCTATTAATACTAGTTATCTTTTTACTTAATGTCCTTAATTATGTTTTTGCAAAATTTAGATATATATTCTTGTGTCTTCTTCTCTAACTGATGTATTTGGATTTAAGTCATTTGTGCTAACGATAAGATCAGTGAAGTAAACAAAATCCTCAAAGTAGATCTTCTTTTACTTAAGGATCTAAATAATTCCACTTATTGGTGTTTGGTCATTAATAAACATGATATAACACAAACATGTAAATATTTAATTATGTGAGGGTATCTTTTTGGATCTTAAAAAGAAAGAGAATGTTTAAAGAACGTCGCCAAGATATGACATTATCAAGCAGTCAGTTTTCTTATAGTCATACTGGTTGCATGAACTCAAATTAAGAATTAATGAGAAGAAAGAAAGGCAAAAAAATGTAAAATGAACTTTTTTTCTATTCTCCATTTAGTTTGTTACAAGGGGATCGTCTTCAAATGGAGGATTTTTAGAACACGATAATACTAAAGCACTGACTCAAAACAAACATAAAAAAAGCAATATGAGTAACTATTATACTAGTAATAAAAACAAAAGCATCATGCATCGTCCGTTGTCATATTCTTCTCTTCATTATTAATAATGATTTTCTCTAAAGAATCATCTTTCTTCTCTTCCATTTTCTTATACATTCCATACAAATACGAAGAAAATCCCCAAATACATAACAAAGTTGAAATTACTTTAATCAAACCAAAATTATCCTTAAACACTATAACCCCTCCCAAAACATTAACCGTCATTAACGCCGTCATGCAAACTCCTCCTGTTAATGAACTTGACAAGAACACCATCCCAGCAGTACCCATAAAACAAAACTGCCACGTCACCACGTTAACCATCACCGTTAACCAGTATGTTTTTTCACCCAAATCGAACACATTTTTGGCCTCTTTTTTCATCTCATAAAACCCACCGTTTATAATCATTCCTAACGTGGCCAAAACGGTAGCTGATAATTCCATCACCATTTGCATTTCCACAACCATAGAATAGCAACAAACCTCTCTATATATTTTTTCCATTAATGGAAGATAAATAGCGAACAATAATCCAGCACCAATCGTTGAGAAAAATCCTATGAAATACTTTGTTTTCGTCAGATCCTTTGGTTTGTCATGACTCGAACCCAAGGCCAATAGTACTGAACTGAGGGTTAGTAAAAAAACACAATTGATATTTGTGTACGTGATTTTTTGTTTCACAATAACGACAGAAGTGATAAGAGTGAAGACTAGTTGCAGCGATAACACAAGAGAATTAGTCGAAACGGGGAGGTAAGAATTACCCCAAGAAAATAAAAGGTTGTTGAGACCTAAGAAGAGACCAATTACAATAGATAGTAACAACATTTTTGGTGTGAAGTTTGTAAATGGTTTCCTATTGCTTGATTTAAACACATAAAAAGGTGAATAAACTGGGAGGAGGAGAAGAGGGAATCCAGCAGATTGGACCCAAGTTGAAACCCAACGACTATTACCTTTGTGGTTAAAGTAAAATTTTGATAGTAAAGAGGATGAAATTGAGCCAATAAATAGTAACATATAGTTCATACCTAGAAGAAATAGGTAGCATTTATTAGTGGTTTCACTACTAGTACTCATGTTTGTTTCTTCATGTATAATTTGGATTTGGACAATTTCATCACTATTTTCATTGTCAATGATCATCAAATCTTTTAGATTTCCTCTTTGATCATCATGTTCTTGTGGTTGGGGTTGAGATACAAACTCCATTGAAAGAAAATTTAGATTAATTGGTTTGGATGGATGGATTGGGGTGGTGGTGGGAGGGGTTTCTTATATAGAGAAAAAGATGCTTTTGGTGTATATATATATATAGGGGCTTGGCTATATAAAGGTAGACTCTAGTGAGGAAAAATAGATCAATAATAAAAAAATTATTTTTCTTTTTACCCTTTTAAAAATCTACACACCTTATATTATGCAAAATTTACTTTTACATGTTTCCCCATATCTTTTTATATATATATTTTATCAAATAATTTTATTTTTTATGAATGAATTTCAAAAGATAAAAATTTTAATTCTTTACAAAATATTAGTTTTCGTATACACGTGCATTGTACATGAGTATTTTATTCAAACAAGTAAAAGTTTAAGAGTTTGAACTAACTTATAATCCAAATAAAAATATAAAATTTATTTTAAGTGTAAAATGAAGTTCTTTTCTTCTCAACTTTTTTCTTGTTTTCCGTTCTCCATTTAGTTTGTTCCAAGGGATTGTCTTCGAATGGAGGATTTTAGAATTTAGATACACGACAATACTAAAACAAAAATAAAAATGCAATATGACTAACTATTATACTACTAATAAAAACAATAACAAAAACGTATCGTCCTCATGTATTGTCCGTTACAATTTATGTCATATTCTCCTCGTTCATCTCCATCATCTTTATCGTTATTATTATTAATCAACGTCTCTAAAGACTCATATTTCTTCTCTTCCTCCTTCATCTTCATATACATTCCAAACAAATACGAAGAAAATCCCCAAAGACATAACAAAGTTAAAATTACGTTATTCCAACCAAAATTATCCTCAAACATCATAACCCCTCCCAAAATATTAACGGACATTAACGCCGTCATGCAAACTCCTTATATTATGCAAAATCTACTATTACTGTTGTATTTTATTATATTGGATTTGGATTCTTTCCACTATTTCTTTTTTTATATATTTGTATCAAATAATTTTATTTTTTAATTTATGAGTTTCAATTTTAAAATTATTTGTTCTTTTTAAAGTATTAGTTCTCGTACATGCACGTGTGTATTCTATGCTAACAAATATAAATACTTTAGAAGTTTAAGAATCTAAACTAATTATAGTACAAATAAAAATATAAAGACAGAGAAGAAAAAATACATTCTTCTTAGGACTTGATATATAACAATATATATTGTAAATGAAAAAAGAAATACAAAATACAAAAAAAAAAAAAAAAGAGTTATAAAATGAAAAGGTATAAATCTCATGAAACAAATTAAAGTTACGATATCAATTTTATTTGACTTCATTAATTTCAACACAAACAAAACTATATGTGAAAATTTATTTATTTAAAGTATTTCAATTCATAAAATTTAAATTTTGAATCTAATAAAAAACAAGCCTAAGCAAAAACCTTTCGGCTGATCATAAATAGGCTAATTGAGTATCCAATATTACATATGAACATGCATGATGATGATGACTAATGCACATTTTAGTGAGTAATGACCGAACGATATGAGCAAAAAAAATACTTAATTCGTTTTTATTTACTCGTTAAATTTTATTTTTTTTTGATTTCTTCGATGCAAATTAAGGAAGATAAATTTTTTTGTCTTCCTATTATATATTCAATTTATTAATATTGACAAATTATTTAAATGTCGCTTCTGGGATTTTAAAGAGTTTAAGGGACGACATAGGGATAGTGCAAGTAAAAGTTTAGTGAACTCGGAATGTTCTAGGTCTTTATATAATTATGAATAAACTAAAAATCTTGTAACCAAAAAAAAAGAAAATTATTTAAATGTTTTTTTGTTAAGGGTAAAATTATATAATTGCAACCTTCTAAATAACTGAATTTTTTATAAAAACAAATCTTAAAAATCTATGACCTGATTCAAATCATTGACCGAAAAAAAATTTAGAATTATATTCATTCCAAAATACATAGTCAAAGTACACTTGGTAAGTAAATCTCTATTATTATATCATAGCTGAGTCACTATATAAACTCACCAAAAGCCCCCATTCATCCACCCTAACGATCGAGTCCAAATTTTCATTGTTCTTTGTTTATTTCATTCAATGGAATTTTTAGGTCATGAAGTTGAGACAGGATTTTCAAAAGAAACAAACACTAGTTATAACATGTTTCTTCTAGTAATTAACTATATGTTACTTTTTATTGGCTCAATTTCATCATCCCTAGTCTCAAAATTCTATTTTAATCACAAAGGTGATAGTCGATGGGTTTCAACTTGGGTCCAATCTGCTGGATTCCCTCTTCTCCTTCTCCCTATTTATTTACCTTTTTATGTTTTTAAATCAACTAATAGAAAACCATTTACAAAATTCACTCCTAAAATGTTGTTACTATCTATTGTAATTGGTTTCTTTTTAGGTCTCAACAACCTTTTAATTTCTTGGGGTAATTCTTACCTCCCCGTTTCGACTAATTCTCTTGTTTTATCGTCACAACTAGTCTTCACTCTTATCACTTCTGTTATTATTGTTAAACAAAAGATTACATTCGCGAATCTCAATTGTGTTATTTTACTAACGCTTAGTTCAGTACTATTGGCTTTGGGTTCGAGTCATGACAAACCAAATGGTTTGACGAGAAGAAACTATTTTATAGGATTTTTCTCTACGATTGGTGCTGGATTAATGTTCTCTCTTTATCTCCCATTAATGGAAAAAGTATATGGACATGTTTATTGCTATTCTATGGTTGTGGAAATGCAAATGGTGATGGAATTAACAGCTACGATTTTGGCCACGTTAGGAATGATTATAGACAGTGGATTTTATGAGATGAAAAAAGAGGCCAAAAATGTTTTTGATTTAGGTGAAAAAGCATATTGGTTAACGGTGATGGTTAACGTGGTGACGTGGCAGTTTTGTTTTATGGGTACAGCTGGGATGGTGTTCTTGACAAGTTCATTGACAGGAGGAGTTTGCATGACGGCGTTAATGGCCGTTAATGTTTTGGGAGGGGTTATAGTGTTTAAGGATAATTTTGGTGGAATTAAAGTAGTTTCGACTTTGTTGTGTATTTGGGGATTTTCTTCGTATTTGTATGGAATGTATAATATGAAAAAGAAGGAGGAGAAGAAAGAGGATTCTATAGGGATTGAAGAACAACAATTTGTAGCTTGAGGATATATAATGCTCATTTGACAAGTTAATTATTACTCTAAAATTTTTGTTATTGAGACAATATATGTTCTCTAGTTTCTTTGGTTGTTTATCACATTGGAAGAAAATTTTCAGTTTGAATCAACGACTTGTCAATCTATCTATATATTTTCTATCTTTTATTCTTGTTCCTAGATTTAGAGTTTTGTTTACGAATTTTTGGCTTACATCAATAGGTATATACATATAGTAGTAATTTGTATTTAAGGTACTAGGTAATTGTGCTGAAAAATAGCTAGAGTCGAATAAAAAAGGGATCTAATAAAAATTGATAAAACATTCTATTAGTCCATATTCGATATGGAATAAAAGCCGGGTACACGAACAAATAATATGGATATCTACTACTTTTTTTCTTATGTAAAAGAATGAGTACTCTCAAATCATTTTTTTTTTCTTTTTAGGGTATGTTTGATATGAATAAAAATATTTTTCAAAAATATAAGTGATTGAGGAGTCGAATCTTGGATTGAGAGCCAGGTCACGCTTTAGGTTCAAGGTCAGGAGTTTGATCCTAGGTTGGATTTTAGGTCTAGGTTTCTAATCCTGACTCGAGATTCAAGTCTCGGATCGGAAATAGGGTCCTGTGTTGAGGTTGAAAGTCTTTTATATATATATATATATATACTACACTCAAATATGAATGAGTATTGTGATGAACATGATCAGTTTAGTTAGAACCCAAATAGGTCAAGATCAGTTTGGTTAGAATCCACGTAGGTCAAAGGACAGTCCAATGATACATAGCTCAGGTGAAGGTTTGCCAAATATATGATGTAATATCCGGAAATTATATATAGGTGAATTTGTTGATATACATCGATCATAAATGTGATAATATTTGAGTTTTCTAGTAAGTTTTTCGCAAAGCCCAAATAAAAAATTTAAAATGATTATTATATTTTAGAATATTTAAACTGATTATTCGATCAACCCCCAACCCACGGTCATTTATGATGGTAAAAAAAGCATTCAATAGGTTTTCTCTTTAGTCATACACAACCATTACTATATAATGTTTTATTTATTTTTGGTTTGACTTTCATCACCTTTTTTTATAGAGAAATCACTATATAAACACTCACCAAAACCCCCCATTATATTCATTCATCCATCAAAGTTCCATTGTTCTTTCTTTTCTTTTAATATATACTAATAATAATAGCAATAAAATTCGATGGAGTTTGTAGGTGAATATCAAAGTGAGATAACAAATGATTTGATGATCCAAAATGATCATCAAGTCGAAGAAACAGGTAGTAGTAGTAGTGCTAGTACTACTTCAAACGGCGGTACTAATAAACGTAACCTAACTCTTTTAATAATTAACTATTTGTTACTCTTTAGTGGTTCCATATCATCCTCTTTACTATCAAAATTTTACTTTAACCACAAAGGTAATAGTCGTTGGGTTTCAACTTGGGTCCAATCTGCTGGATTCCCTCTTCTCCTCCTCCCAATTTATTCACCTTTTTATGTGTTCAAATCAACTCATAGAAAACCATTTACAACCTTCACACCAAAAATGTTGTTACTTTCTATTGTAATTGGTTTCTTCTTAGGTCTCAACAACCTTTTATATTCTTGGGGTAATTCTTACCTCTCCGTCTCGACTAATTCTCTTCTTTTATCGTCACAGTTAGTATTCACTCTTTTCACTTCTGTCATTATTGTGAAACAAAAAGTCACATATTCAAACGTCACTTGTGTTGTTTTACTAACCCTTAGTTCAGTTCTATTGGCGGTGAACTCGAATCATGACAAACCAAAGGGTATTACTAGGAAAAAATATTTCATAGGATTTTTCTCAACGCTTGGTGCTGGATTGTTATTCTCTCTTTATCTCCCATTAATGGAAAAAATCTATAAACATGTTTATTGCTATTCCATGGTTATGGAAATGCAGATGGTGATGGAATTAACCGCTACCGTTTTCGCAATGTTGGGAATGATTATTGATGGTGGTTTTACAGAGATGATAAACGAGAGTAAACAAGTATTTGATATGGGTGAAAAAGCATACTGGATAACGGTGATGTTAAACGTGGTGACGTGGCAGTTTTGTTTTATGGGTACTGCTGGGATGGTGTTCATAACAAGTTCATTGACAGGGGGAGTTTGCATGACAGCGTTAATGGCTGTTAACGTGTTGGCTGGGGTTATAGTGTATGGGGATAATTTTGGTTTAATTAAAATAATTTCAACTATATTATGTGTGTGGGGATTTGGTTCCTATTTGTATGGATTATATAAGAAAGAAAAGGAGAAGAAGAAGAAGAAAGAGGATTCTTCTACAGACAATGATGATCAACATTCAGTAGCATGAACAAGTGTCACAGACTTAGATTCTTACTATTGATAAGTGACGAACGTTTTGAACGTTTATGTATTATGAGTCAATGTTTAAATATTGTTATGTACCCAAATCTTCATTAGAAGATAGATAATCAATCCCTTGTATAACAAGCAAAAGGATGAATGGGAAGAAAAGATTTTTATTCTATATCTATCTATTTATTTTATTTAAAAAATGAAATGATTGAAATTCATATATCACTTCTCATTTCTAGTAATTTAATTTCATTGAATTTTACTAACATGTTCTTAGATCATATTTATTAATGGCTAAGCACCCATAAGTAGAATAAAAGAGGATCTAAATTTAAGAATTTATTTTTTCTTCATTGATTTTATTATTTTTAACAGAAATGACAAAAATAACTGTAGAAAATAATGAAGGTCATTAAGTTGAAACTTGACCTCACCTTTATTGTATAATTAAGTTTAAACTTGACCTCACCTTTATTGTATAGTTAAGTTTAAACTTGACTTTACCTTTATTGTATTATCTAATCTCTTGTAGTAATTAAATACACCATTAAGAATGTGTTTGGTATGAGTTTATTTTATATTTCTGCGTTTACTTATTTATTTTTAACTTTACATATCTCTTAAAAAATAAAAGTATTTTATCGTAATAAATACTCATACCAATTGTTCGAAATGACTCTATTGAACAAAAGAAAATTTATATGTAATTAGACAAATATACATGGACTAAATAATATACATATGAAGATACTTGGTACGAATAAACCAATCAGTTAGAGAAAAAAAATTTAAAAAGTAAAAGGTGACTTAAACCACAAACATAGTGTACCAAAAATAATCATCAATATCAAGTGGCTAAACTAGAAATTAACTTAATAGATAATTTAATATATGTCCAGATGAATTTATTTGAAAAAGCTCATCAAGTGCACAGTAATATTATAAATATATATGTTACAAACAAATATAAACATTTTTTTCTACAACCAGATCTAAAGTAGTATGTTACAAACAAATATATATATGTTTAACATACATTAATATATAAATCAATTTTTCCTCTACCAATATTAATAATAGCAATAATAATAATTATTATAATATTATGATATAAACCATCTCTTTATTTTTAAATTCTTTTTATATCTAATGATGGCAAAGTGAAGGTCGAATTGGGCATGAATGGATCAAAATGATGATATGAAAACAAATAAAATACATTTGAGTCGAAAAGTCAAATTGCAATAAGGATATTTTTAGAAAAAATGGTGCATGGTCACACTTTGAGTCTACAAGAATATTGCTATTACTAATATTTATATTAAGATAAATTTTCTATATTATACGTTGATGAAGCAGTTTTTTTTTTTCTAATTTTATGCAAACACAAAATATTTTATATATCGAGCTAAATTTTTGTGGTAACCTTCACACCTAAATAATCACGCGAAGGGTTAATGCGTAAAAAGCTCATTATATAGTAGTATAACTTAATTCATTTGTAATATGTGTTACGATTTATTTACCTTTTGTTTACTTGTAAATACAGCCACCTAACATACCGTAATACTCAAATAAGACGAATCTCGATATAGTTATTTTAAGTTATTTATTATTTGCAAGGTTTAAGATAAAATTATTATTATTATTTTAATCCTAATTTGTAGCTTAAATGCCAAATGAAGATAGATTATATCTTTATATAGACAACATGAATGAAGGTAAACTAGGTAAAAGTCGTCTTCCGAATTACTAATATTTAAGAGATGAGTAAAAAAAATAAAGGTCTACATATAATTTGAAAGCGAGAAAATAATATATTTATAGGAGAATTGGTTGTAAAGGTTATTTATAATTATTTTTTTTGTTTTATGATTATTTTTTTATAAGAGATTTTAATTTTTTATCCACATAAGAGATTTTTATTTTGAAAAAAAATATTATTTATTTCTAATTTGTAAATCATTAAGAGATTTCATTTCCTCCATATTTACCCTATATCATGTGAGAGTACATATTACTGAATTAATAGGGAATTATCGTCTCCAGTATAAAACTTTCAAATATGGAATTACGTAATTATTGCATGTTGCATATAATATCAGATGCACTAATCAACTGTAATTTTATATGACTATTGTTGTTTGAGAAATTAACCATGATTTGAAAACATAAACTCGACTACTAGTGTTCCAATAAGTTTGAAATTTTTTGTGATTTAACAATAATGATAAATTTTTAAAAACTACATCTCTATTAATTTGCCAATTCATAAGTAATATTATCATTAATATATGGAAAAAAGATAAAATTATACCCCAAACTATCATAAATTTGATGCAAATATCTTTCGTCATATTTTTAGGATATCAGTGCACTTGTCGTCCAAAATTAGGACATATATATTCTTTATACCAACGGATGTGCTCGTGTCATAATTTTATTCACTGACATGATATTTATTAGATATTGGATAAGATTGTGTCACACGTCCCTATTTAGTCTGTTAGAGTGAAAGGCGTATATGCTCCAACTTTTGAACGACTTAGACACTTATGTCCCAAAAATATAACAAAAGATATTTACAACCATTTAGGATAGTTTAAAAATTTGTTTATCCTTTTTCCCTT